ATTTTCTTCGATGCCCATCCTCCTTTCTGATGTAATTGGTGTGCCAGGAGCAGTTGTGTCTCACTGTCAAGAAAAACCCTAAACCATTTAAATGCCATGTATTCTGTAGGCCTTTGAAAGGTTTGGAAAATATCCATCTCAAATACATCTCTGTATATCTAGAAAACCTAACCAACCTAACTGTAGGTTGTGACTATTATAGGTGACTATATAATCTGTATTTAATTATGCATATCACAAAATTGACCTTAAATTTGTATCAATAAATGAAAATCCATACCAATATAAAGTATTCATCTCCATATCCTATTCCTTTTTTTTCCTTTAAAAAGAGATTGATTGTGATCATTACCATTTATAACCAACCCCATTTAAATGAAAACATTTATAAGCAATATTTGGAAATTTAGGTGTCGTTCATTCCAAACTGCTTCCTGCTGGATGGGGGCGATGTCCATACTATGGTGATCATGATAAAATACAGAAATCCTGGCCATAGTCATCTATGACTGTATCATCTCAGCTGTTTTGGATGCAGGATCCAGTTGGGCTATTGCTTCAGGGGGTCTTGCTTGATCAAACCATGTTAGTCTGGAAGGAATCCACAGCTTTTCATTTTCTGTGAAAACACAATCAGAAATTCTTTTCCCAAGTAGCCTGTCCTTAGACTTAAATTTTGAAGTCAAAGCATTTTTAAAATGTGTAAGTTGGGTTAATTCAACAGCATTGATAATCAAACATTATAGCATCTGTAACTCTTTCCTCATCAATCAAACAATTTAAAGACAACAATATCCATATAGTATCCAGACTCTGTGTATTTTTCATCTTTACGTGGATTTCTTTTATTTTAATTCTTTTACTCCTTTTTGTTTCTTTTTCCTGAGACAGGGTTTCTCTGTGGAAATCTGCCTGCCTCTGCTTCTGGAGTGCCGGGATTAAAGGCATGTGCCACCACACCCAGGTACTCTATTTCCTCCTGTTTCTTTTTCTCTCACAAGCCTACATATATTTTTTAACACAGTGTAAACCTTTCGGAGATGTGGTCACTGCCAGCTGCATGAACCAACAATAAGAGTCTCATGCTGCTATTTGTAATAGCCAGAACCTGGAAGCAGTCTAGATGCCCCTCAGCTGAAGAATGGATAGAGAAAATGTGGTACATTTACACATGGAGTACTACTCAGCGGCAAAAACCAATGGAATCTTGAAATTCACAGGCAAATGGATGGAACTAGAAGAAACCATTCTGAGAGAGGTAACCCAATCACAAAAAGACAAACATGATATGTACTCATTCATATGAGGATTTTAGACATAGAGTAAATGATTACCAGCCTTCAATCCACACTGCCAGAGAAACTAGTAAACAAGGAGCCCGTGACCCTGAGACTAAGAGTCTCATGCTCTACCGACTGAGCTAGCCAGGCTTCTTAAAAAGACCCATGTGGTTTTTACATTTATGTTGAGTAAGGAAACCTCTCTCAAAGGAACCACTGGAGTCTCTGCTTGTCTCTAGCAAAACAGAAATCACCTGAGAAAATGCTGCTACCAAGAAGTTGTGCTTGTCTCTGTTCTTTTGCTTCCAAAATCCCTTTTATGAAGTTTACATGGAAGTTCGTACCGCCAGCTGCCCAGGTTCTGCCTCTGCTTGACTAGTTGAGGGAAGGAAGCATTCAGAGGTGAGAGCTCAGAATCCTAACCCTAGAACTCTCGAGGGCTGCAGGCCGTCTCAGGAATGCTGAGTCCAACCCCAAGAGCACAGGACAGCGTGAGTTTACGGAATCTGCTCCAAAGCCGTGCAGCAGCTCAACAGCGCAGGCTGTGGCAGCAGGTTCACGGCTTCCTCTAGGAACCTCGGAGAGTGGGGTGATCCCACTCCTGACACCATTTTGTAACAAGTCTTTACTCCATCCACCCGAGCCCCGCCACCACGTGGGTGCTCAGAATAACACACAGAGTCTTATATTAGTTTACAATGCTACTGGCCAATTGACTAGGATTTCTTATCTGCTAGCTCAGTCTTAATTATCAACCACAATCATAAGACTTATGGAGGACGCTGGTGGTAAGCGCCCTCTCTTGCCAGTAGATCACAAGATTTATCTTTACTACATTTCCCAGAATCCTCCTTGACTCCTAGTCCCACCTATCCTGCTTCCTCATTGCCTGAACAGTGCTTTATTCAACAACCAATAAGATAAACATACACAAAAGGACATTCCCCATCACTTCTTTGCCAAATGTTTGTTTCACGTGAGCTCTTGTGCCTGAAAGATGTTCCTCATAGTCACTGTGAACAGAGTCATGTCATCTGTACCTGGAGTTGCAGTAGACATGGTGAGCATATGGGTGGTGGAACCATTTGGGTAAAATTGTGGTCCTCTGAGGCCCTGTGGCACAGCACAGGTCTGTGATGCACAATTAAAGTGTTAGATCATAAGAACTCCTCAGAATGAACTTGCTAAACACAGATTCCCAGACATGATGTAATTTGTAACATCGCATGTATGCTAGCAACATAAAAAGAATTCCCTACCTCTATCCCCTTTCAGAGGTAATCCCTCAACTCTGACCTTGGAAACATTATTATTATTATTGTTATTGTTATTATTTTTCTGCTGAGGATTTTAATACAAAGGAACGACATGATGATCTATTAGGAAACTGAGCTACTAAGCAAAGCCCCAGTATCACCAGAGTGTCTACTCTTTTCAACCTGGTTATAGTCTTTGGGATCAAGTAAACTACATTTGACAAAGCTCTTTGGAATTGGGGTTATTTTCTGTATTGGCTTATTACATATGAAAATAAAATACATTTTCATTGAGGAGCCAAAAGATGATGGCAAAAGATTTTCAGATTATTAAAGGAAAGAAAACCTAAGAATTTGCCATCAGCAGACCTCATTATATAAAATACTAAATGATTCATCAGCAATGTGAGCCTAGATGGAAGTATGAAAAGTAAGAACATGAGGACTTTATAAAATAATAATAAGGATGTAGGTTTAAGATTTATTTGAAAAATGTCAGTATAGATACTTTGAGGAGGTAAATGTGGCCAAGATATTGTGAAGACTTTGTATGTTGCAGGAGAGATGATTCCTGGATAAGTTTAAGTTTTGTTTTGCTTTTTAACCTTCATTTTAGGGCCCAATGTGCTGGTACATGCCTGTAATCCCAGTACTCAGGAGGCAGACATAGAGTCACACAGCAACCAGGACTGTATAGTGAGACCTTGTCTCATAAAAACAGGAAAAAAATCATTTTGTTTTTATTTTATTTATTCTGTGTCTGTCTGCATGAGTGTACACCACATGCATGGCCTGCAGAATTCAGAAGAGGGTATTGGATCCCCTGTAGCTAGACTTAGAGGCAGTTGTGAGAAGTCCTATGTGGGTGCTGGGAACTGAACCCAGTCCCTCCAGAAGAACACATCTTTTCACACCAGAATTTAATTTTTTTTTGACACAGAATATCATGTAGACCATGTTGGCCTTAGACTTACTCTGTAGTTGAGGCTGACCTTGAACTTCTGATCCTCCTGGGTGCTGGAAATACAGGTATGTACCACCATGCCAGCTTATGTGGTGCTGAGGATCCATCCCAGGGTTTCTGCAGGCTAGGCAAGCATTCTACCAACTGTGTTCCATCTCTAGCCATGAGCTTAGATCTTTTTCTTACTTTATGCTGAATATTTTTATTCAGGACAAACAAACAAATAAAACCAAAACAACACAAAAACGTTTCACTTGCAATATCAGTCAGCTTTCATTTTGGCTCTCCTGTCCAGAAGTGTCTAATGCAAAAATCCATTTTTCCAAGCCTTTTTAAGAAGCTTACTATCTTCTTTGCTTATTTTGAGTTTGTGGTCATGGAAGCTCTGAGATTTCTTCACATTGTTCACACGGCTTCACATTTCCTTTGTCTTCTGGGATGCCATCTTTTTTCTTGGTTTCTCTTTCAGCACAAGATCTAATCTTTATCATTTCTTCTGCTGTTTTATTCTTTGCTTCTATATCACCTGCTTCATAACATCTAATAAAGCAGCTATTTAAGTCCAGTAAAGATATTTTCCCACCTAGAAACACTAGTTCCCCTTTGTTCTCTTAGCCCAATTGCATCTAAACGTCCAACAACAAATCGATCTGAATTTATACCAATTTATAATTTTCCTTAGCCAGATTTCAGGGCAATTCTGGAATCAGACAATTTGACAGCAGTAAACTGGTCTGAGGACAGGGGCCTCACCCACTTCTCCATGTGGAGCTCCTAGTGTAAAAAGGCCACTGTCTAGTGCATGGGTAGAGGCTCCTTTATCAATTTCAATGGCAGTGGTCCCTGAAATCTCCCCAAAGTTGGATATAGTTCACCAGAGTCCCACAATATCAAGCTGGGTTTTCTCATCTTGTTTTCTCTTCTTATCCTTGCTCTTTGCCTTTTTACTCTTTGCCTTAGTGCCTTAAGTACGAGCTTAGTGAACTTTACATAGGAGTATTCAGCCTCCAGCAGAGTTCCTGTAGGCTGGGAGGAGGAAGTGAAGGACGGAGAGGAGAGGAGCTGAACAGAGTTTAGATTTTGACAAGACTTAGAGATGAATGCTTAAGTTTCTGGGGATAATCACTACAAACACAGAAACACAACAATCTAAGAGAGAGAGGAATAAAATACAATGTAACTTTTTAGTGCAATGAGGAAAACAACAAACAAACCAAAACCAGATCATCAATCCAAAAGAAAGAGAAAAATAAAATTTATCAGACAAAATGGACCATAAAATAAGATCATAGATTTAAACCAGTAGATTCTTTGTGTGTGTGTGTGTGTGTGTGTGTGTGTGTGTGTGTGTGTGTGTGTGTTCAACTCAGAAAGTCATTACTAGAGACCTGAATTTTTATTTTATTTTTTATTTTTATTTTATTTATTTATTTATTTATTTTTGCATTAGGCATGTCTGGGTGTGAGGCCCCAGTCTTCTGTCCTCTGCATTACAGTGTCTTTTTTTTTTTTTTTTTTTTTTTTGTTTTGAGGAGGTGGTCTCCTCTAGACAGTACAAATGGCTTGTGCTTACCTCTGAGCAGCTCTGAGGACTGCTCAGTCCGTCCCCAGCCCCAGTGGCACACCAGCACTGTGCCCTATTTGGTGGACCGCTCTTCCTCGGTTGAGATGACTTTCAGTAACGCTTGAATAAACCTCTGCTCCTGCACACTAAGATGTTCTTTAGCTAGACTGAGGGCTCTCTTGGCATATTCCTTTGCCTGAAACAGAATTTCAGTGGTATATGGAAGTGGTCCAGGAAACAATAACATTAAGAGACTAAATTTGTGTTTAGCTCAGAAACTGGGGAGGAACTGGTCACCTTCTCTCACTAGTCACTGAGCTCCATGGAAAACAGAGTGAGAGCTGGGGAGGGTCTCCAGCCAGGGCAGAGAGGTCACTGGTGTCACGAGTAGATCCTAGAGACCCTGGGGCTCAGAGGCTTGGGCAGAGGCTCCAAAGGATCCCTATTTCAGGGCAGTCTCTGGTTCCTATTTTCTCTGTCGTTTCTTCTGAACAACACTGTTTTCTGAGTAGCTGCTATCTGCCAGGACCAACTATATACAGAAATCTGTGTCCTTGTGAAACTTACACAGAGCAGGAAGGACAATAAGCACAGTGAATAATAAAATGTGATACTGTTTTATTTTGGGGGGAGGGGCAGGCTTTTTCACAGCCCAGGCCAGTCTAAAACTTACTATGTAGCTGAGGATGAGCTTGAACTTCTGATCCTGCTGTCTCTTCCTCCTGAGTGCTGAGATTACATGTGTGCACCACCACATCCATATTTAACGCCAGAATCTTAAGCAGTAATGCACGCCAAAGAACCAAAGAAAGCAGGAAAGAGGTACTGGAAGTATTGGTGGTGGTAGGGATGTTCTGGTTAGGGTCTTTTTTTTTTTTTTTTTTTTTTTCCTTTTGAGACAGGGTTTCTCTGAGTAGCCCATGATGTCCTGGAACTCACTCTGTAGACCAGGCTAGCCTCAAACTCACAGATCCACCTGCCCCTGCCTCCCAAGTGCTGGGACTAAAGGCATGAGCCACCACCGCCAGTTGTCCTGGTTAGTTTTTAGTGTAGACTTGACATAACCTAGAGTCACCTGGGAAGGGAGAAGCTCATTTGAAGAATTGCCATGATCAGATTGACTTGTGGCCATGTCTATGAGAGACTGTCTTGTTTGGCAATAGATGTGGGGGGCCAGCCCACTGTGGGCAGCACCATCCCTGAGCTGGTGGTCCTGGGTTGTATATGAGTGTGAAACAGTAAGCATCATCCCTCCACAGCTTCCGATTCAGTTCTTACCCTGACTTCCCTCAGTGAAGGGCTGTGACCTGGAAGTGGAGGTAGAAATAAACCCCGCTCCTCCCCCAGATTGCCTTTGGTCAACCAGCAAGAAGAATCAAATGAGGAAGGTGGGACTTGGCAGTCTTAGACAGGGAAGAAAGACATGAAGGAAATGAGTTGTTAAATCTAGACACACAGAAGGGTCCTTTTTGTCTAAGCACCTTCAGGACACTTAGCATCCTTAGTACACTTTGGAGTAACGACTTTCCCCTAAGATGGCCCCCAACCTGTACAAAAGAGGTTTTAGACAATGGCAATTTGAAAATTCTCTGGAAATATTTTCCTATTCTCTGACTATTTCTCCCAGAATTCCAGGACTAGCCCCCCTCTTCTGTGCTCCCACAGTGCCCTGAGCTTCACTGTCACACTCTCTATAACCACACTGAACTCCTCCATACCCCTTCAGAAGCACCAGGCCCCTGGTCCTCAACAAAATTTGTGGAGGAATGGGAGGGGGGAAGACAAGCTGTAGGGAGGCAGTGTGGCATTCCCCACGCTGCCCACATACACTTCTGTTCTATTTTTGATAACACTTTTACTGTCTGAGATGATACTACACATTCACATGTCTGTATGGTAGCTTCCCTTTCTCCAGAAGTCCCAGGTTCTACAAAGAAGTAACTTGTTTGCTAATGTTTGCTCCATTCTTGGCAGAAAGCCTTTTAAGTGGTAGAAGCCTGATAAATATTTGAATGGGTGAATCAATCAATAGTCTGAAATAGACCACTATTAGTCTATAAGACACTGGGAAAATAATCAAGCCTTTCTGTGCCTCAGTTTCCTTATCTATAAAGAAGGGGTGAGAATTAAACATGACAATCATATAATAGGCTTCAGCCAGTGTCTGGCATCCTTTTTTTTTTTTTTTTTTTTTTTTTTTTTTTTTTTTTTTTTTTTTTTTTTTTTTTTTTTTTTTTTTTTTTTTTTTTTTAAAAGCACTCATCCCAAGTGCTAGGATTAAAGGCGTGCACCACCAACGCCCCGGCTGTCTGGCATCCTTTTTAACAGGTGCCTAAATCCCACAGCAACAGGGATCAAGGACAGTGGCCACTTCAGTCTCCACCAGCATCTTCAGAACCTTCCTGGACACAGCAGGTTTCCTGGCACTACCCCTACCCCACCATCAGTCCCTCCCCACAGCCTTGGGAAATGCCCCCCCAGAGAAGAAAGCCAGAGTCTGTAACTGGCAATGCTACAGACTGAAAGCTTGCCCTGGGGTTGGCAAGCAATACATAGTTGATCTGAACTGATATTATGCTCTCTCCGTTTAGACAGCTTTTCTGGGGAAGCTTACCATTGAACACTCCAACATCAGATAGTAAAGCATGCTCAGGGTCTTCATAATGAAGACAGTCTTTTGGGGTGCTTTGCTGGAAGAAGATTCTCGAATGTTCAGGATTGAAGTTAGGATCTGAATGGCCTCTGCTTCCTGGGCTTCATCTGCATTGCAAGAGGAGGAACAGAACACAGACCTTGGAGGCTGGTGGCGGTTGCAGGAAGAGGGGGGCTCGTGGCTTAGAAGCTTAAGAGATGTAGTGGGTACGGAAGTTTGCTGTGTGAGCACAAGGACCTGAGTTCAGATACTTGGCAGTTCTGTGGAAAACCAGATATGGCTGTTTGGCTTGTACCCAGTGTTAGGCAGGAACAGAAACAGGAGGCTTGCTGGAGCTGGCTGCATGGGACATGTTGCATTTGTACACACACACACACACACACCTGCCCTTGCCCTAGACACTCACCCATGGCCTGCTGTGGCCTGCTGCAGCCTCCTCACAGGGGTTCCAGTGGAAACAGGACATAGCACAGTGAGACTGCCAGGAGTCAGGGAAATAGGACAGCTTGCTACAACTCTCTAGTTCAGCTAGCAGGTAGGTATCGAAGTGACCACAGTCCCCAAAGCTGCTAAGGTATCTATTTCAGAGGCTGAAATCTCCTGCGTTCCTAATACAGGGAATTTGTCAAGCCAGATTCCTCAGGACCCATTCAGCCACCACTCTGGTTGCAGCAGCCTAGTTCCTCCTGCAAAGGTCAAAGACAGCTGACCAACAACAGCCAGTCTGGTCCCCACTGAGCCTGTTTATTTCCCCCAGAGATTTTTTTCTTTGTTTTGTTTTACTGAAATATGGTTATTAGACTTGCTATGTAGCCCAGGCTGGCCTTGAACTTCTATCCCCCTGCCTCCACCTGTACGTGCTGGGATTATGGATGAGTTCTTCCCAGAGGTTTTTGTTCCTATGTTGGTCACCATTTATTGTCCAGTTATTATGGGCCTGCACTTACGAGCATATATTTAAGTGATAAGCTTAAAGAAAAAGGCAAAAAGGACATACCCATGATGCTAAGTATGGCTACCCATGCATGGTTATGTTTCTACTACAATATGAACCACTTTCCTGATGAGAAAACCAAATAAAGTTAATACATTTCTCAACATTATCTTAAAATCTTGCTTTCAAAGTCACCCTTTCAGTACCACCCACCCATCTTTACTCCTCATTCTGGGACTCCTGTCACAATTTGTGTTTGTGGGATGTTCTTTTGCTGCTGCAGATGGGCTGTGTATCACCTGCACTGGGGGTGACTTTGGAGTAGAAATTTAGATCTCCCATCTCTTTACCATGTCAAAGGGCATGGCCCCATTCAGTGCTACCCAGTATGCAGCCCTATGCAGCCCGAGGATGGAGATGGATCAAGTCTGGCCCTGCTACTAAGGACCTTGCTACCCTGTAAAGGAGGAAGACAGGTGTCAGCAGGAATCAACAAGGCAACATCTGCATGGACCATCCCTGGGCTTTTGTACAATGGAGGCACAACAAATAAGAAATAGATGCTAGGCAGAAATCACCAGGGTCTAATGTCCCCTTTTCTCTAAGTCTGCCCTTATCAGCCTCGTGAGGATTGTGTGCAATGGCAGGGGTCTTAAATTTTCCTGACATTGATACAAGCTCCTTGAGCCCATTGTCTCTATTTTTCTCCCCGCCTGCAAAATGGGGAAGATGGCACTAATGGGCTCTGTGGGAACACACAAAGGCAAGACCTGAGTGTTGGGGAGGAAAAGCCATTGTTCCATTTGCTAGGAGACCTACCACTTACCCAGGCCAGTGTCATTCACAAATTGTTTGCCCAGTAAGTCTGTTTGTTGGGAACGAGCCTGTAAGAGGACTTGGTAGTGATCATTCAAATATGTAAACCAGATCTCCGAGACCTGTTGGGAAAGCAGGATGATCAGACCAACAGGTGAGGGTCAGGCAAGGGCCAGCCAGTTGGGAACCTGCTGCTCAAGGCCTGCTTTCCTGAGCCTAGAAGCCCTCAGTCTCACTGTGCATGAGAGCAGAGGGAGCCCTCAGAGTCCAGACAGGCCTGAAGCAAGTGCCTAAGGCAAGGGCCGAGGCAGGTTCATCAGGGGCAGCCTGCCAGAGTCTCAAGTCAATGGCTACCATTATGAAGCTCTAACTTACTACTCCATTTACATGTGAATACACTCAGGCTTAGAAAAGTTAACAGCACACTTCCGAAAGAGCTGACAAATGGCATAGCCTGGCTCCATACCCAGGTCTGATTGACTCCAAAGTTCACTGGTGTTCACCTACACCAAAATGCCATTGGCTGTCCTGGAACTCTCTCTCTGTAGACCACGCTGGCCTCGAACTCAGATATCCAACAGCCTCAGATATCCAAAGGCACATGCCTTTAATCCTTTAATCCCAGCACACGGGAGGCAGAGGTAAACGGTTCTCTGTGAGTTCAAGGCCAGGCTGGTCTCCAGAGCGAGTGCCAGGACAGGCTCCAAAGCTACACAGAGAAACCCTGTCTCGAAAAAAAAAAAAGGCATGCGCCACCACCGCTTGGCCCAAACATCTTTTTCTAAGAAATGGTTCTAAAATGGAAGTCTGCAGTCACAGTGTGATAGCCCCTATCACAGTTGCTACCTAAGCGAGGGATTACTGAATGAGTAACTGGCATTTTCCTTTATTGGAAAGTTTTTACACAAAAAAAGAATTGGGAGGTAGGAGAGAAAGCTCCGTGGATAAAGTGCTTGCTATGCAAGCATGAGGGCCTGAGTTCAAATACCAGCACCCACTGAAAATAGGAAATGTACCTGATGGGGGTAGAGCATGCCTTGGTGTTACACACACACACACACACACACACACACACACACACACACACACTCTCTCTCACACACGTGGGGGTCAGAGGACAACTTTTAGGAGTTGGTCCTCTCCTTCTACCATGTAGGTCCTGGATCAAACGAAGGGTCAGGATTGTTGGCCTCATCTTTACCCACTGAGACATTCTACTGGCCCACACAAAGAATTTTAAAACATTTTCTTGTTCTTTGATCCTTTGAGGGACACTGCATCAATAAGTGTCCCTTAAAAAGTTCTTCCTGGAGCTGGAGAGATGGCTCAGCGGTTAAGAGCACTGGCTGCTCTTCCAGAGGACCCTGGTTCAATTCCTGGCACCCACATGACAGCTCACAACTGTCTGTAACTCAGTTCCAGGGGTTCTGATACCCTCACATAGACATAGATGCAGACAAAACACCAGGGCACATGAAATAAAAATAATTTAAAACATTTCTTCCTTCAGCCAGACAGTGGTGGTACAGGCCTTTAATCCCAGTACTTGTGAGACAGAGGCAGGTGGATCTCTGTGAGTTCAAGGCCAGCCTGGTCTACAGAGTGAGTTCCAAAACAGCCAGAGATATGTAGAGAGACCCAGTCTCGAAAATAAATAAAATAAAAAGCAAATAAAACTAGAATAAAGTTTTTCCTTCTCTGTTGTATACCTCCATACAACTGCCTTGCTGGCTGTGTATCAAGGTGTGAAAGAGCCTGTCATAAGCTCTGGTTCTCTGTGACTCACTCTACAGTGAAGATGGAGGTTTCTATCCCGCCTGGAAGGTCATTCCCCATCAGTACAGATGCTAAGGAACAGCCCACTAGAGAAAGAAGGAAGTAAAGTACTCTGAGGACTAGGCTGTGTAAGCTGGCTGGCACAAGTCAGTCTGTCTCAGAGCATCCTGACTCCTCATGAGATGCCAGGCCTAAGTGTCAGTACTAAGTTCCCACATTCCCCAGCTCACCTTTGTGTACAATGTGTCTGCCAGCCCCATTTTGCTAAGAGCATAGAAGATGTTGGCCAGGTGGAAGTAGCCTCCTGAGGTCCTGATGTCATCTGTTCCAAATGCACAACTGGCAAAATAAATCTATTGCAGGAGAAAGAAAATGGGTGCTTGAGTTCCCCTGAAAACCAAGTGAATGATGAAGGGCCTGTGTCCAGAACACACAGTACAGCCCAATGTGAAAATGGACAAGGGACCTGAGAAGACATTTCTCCAAAAGATATATGGATGATTAATAAGCATGTACAAATGCTAAACACTGACAGTCATTCAAGAAATGAGAAACAAAATCACAGTGATCTCACCTCGCCTCATAGCCAGTATTATGGCTATCTTCAAAAAGAGAAAACAGCAAGCCTGGTGGGGAAACAAAGCCCCAGACATGGCTAAGAGGGATGAAAACTGGTGCAGCCTCTGGGCAGTGGCTAGGCAGATCTTCAAAAGGCTAAACATGGAGCGACTGTGTAGACTAGGAATTCCTCCTCTGGGTACCTTCCCAAGAGAAATGGGCATGTGTGATCACAGAGAAACTGTCTCACAAACATCTGTCACAGTCATCCATAACAGTCCCAGATCAGAAACAGCCATTGTCTGAAGAGTGGATAAGTACCTTGTAGCCCAGACACAGTGGACTGCTCATTGACAACACAAGAGACCAGCTGTTGATCATACAGCAACATGGATGGACTCTAAATGTTATGCAAGGGGAGAGGACTCAGATTCTCCCTCTATAGAGTCTGGAGACAGAAACTGACTGCCTGGGGCTGGCATTTGAATGGGAAATGACTGCAGATGGAGATGAGGGGTTTCTTTGGAGTGATAGAAATGTTCCAAAACTCAATTGTGCTGCTGGTTATGCAGCTCTGTAAATGCACTAAAACTTATTGAAGTGCACACATGAAAACAGATGACTTGTTGGGAGGTGGTGACACACGCCTTTAGTCCCAGCACTCGGGAGGTAGAGGCAGGCAGATCTCTGTGAGTTCCAGATCAGCCTGGTCTACAAGAGCTCATTCCAAGACAGCCTCCAAAGCCACAGAGAAACCCTGTCTCGGGGGGGGGGGGGGGGGGAGGAAAAGAAAACGGATGATTCTGTAGTTTGTATCCATGAAGTGTGTGTGCAAGAAGAAGGAGGTGGGTCTGGGACCATCAAACATGTGCAATCCCAGCACTCAGGAGGCTGAAGCAGGATGATGGTGAGTTCAAGATCAACCTCAAGTATATAATAGGAATATAATAGGAGCTTGTCTCAAAAAATATGTCTAGAGACAGTTGTGGCATGCACCTTTAATACCAGCACTAGGGAGGCAGAAGCAGATGGACCTCTGTGAGTTTGAGGCCAGCTGGTATACATAGTAAGACCCTGTTCAAAAGAAAAACAACAAATATGTGGGGGGGGTATGATAGATAGATAGATAGATAGATAGATAGATAGATAGATAGATACAGATTGAGGATTTAGCCCAGTGGTCCCTAGTGCTAAAGTAAGTGTGTGTGTGTGTGTGTGTGTGTGTGTGTGTGTGTGTGTGTGTGTGTGTGATATGCTCAAGAAACTTGGGTTTGATTTAATTCCTAATTGTGTGGTTCAGCACAAGACTGAATGTGCCTCTGCTTAATTACCTGAAGGATGTAAAAGGTAGAGAACTAACATAAATGAAGAAAAGTTGCCAGGCATGGTGGTGCACACCTTTAATCCCAGAATCCAGAAGGCAGACCTCTTTGAGATCAAGGCCAGCCTGTCTACATATCAAATTCCAGGACAGCCAGAGTGGGTAGTAAGACCCTTTTTCTTTCAAGGATTTGGGTATAAACAGATACCATCTTAAAGGAATGCCAGAAGTTAGTTTAATGGAAGACTTATTGGAGATGTGGAAGGGTTACAAATGCAAGAGGGCTAATGAAGCACCAGGAACAGCAATGGCAAGGGACTATTACCATCTCTGTACCCCAGAAAACAAGAGGAGATAGCAGAGGTAACAAAGAGTGGCCAGGATTAGAGCTATGGCCAATGGACAGGAGCTGTATCCAGAGAGGACTGCTGACTGCCTCTGCCAAAACTGGCTGCCCCCCCCCACTATCCCCTACTGTAACTCCCACCCTCCTCTCCTCTACTGTGCTTCCCACTCTTCAGTCCCTAGCAAAGTCAGACAGCAATGGCATACAGGATGACTATAGAGGTCAGCCTCCCAAGGCAGAGAGTTGCATAGAAGATGGCCTTAAGGTTCGGATAGTCTACGGCACGTGCAGAGGCAGGCAACCAAAGGAAGGCTGCCTGGAGGAGAGGTGAGTAGAGACACTACAGAAAGACCCATGAAGATTGCATGATGACCCAACCTAATCAGGAATTCAGATGTAGGCACTATGATAAATATTCTCCTATCCAAAAATTCTACAAGGAACTCCCTAGCTTGAGAAGAACATCACTCCTCCTATCTAGCATTTGTACAGTTTGTAAGTACTTTCTTATAGATCTAGCTCATTTAAATTTAATAGCCACTCTGAAGAAGCAATGTTAATTTTATTTTAACAAATAGCCACAAAGTCCAGTGTGTACAGTCTTCTATTATTAATCTTTGCAATGCACCAATGTGGTTAGGACCATTTCATGAGTTATGTCTTACATGTGAAAGAAAGGGTTGCATAATTTGTCACAGAACCAGCAGAGCTGGGAACAGAAGCACCACACTTTTCTTAGCCAGTGTCCCAGATTAGCTACACACAACTGAGACCTGGGAAAGGTCTGAACTGGGCTCATTAGAACTGAGTTCTTGCTGCTTCTCCCAAAACAGTCAGCATGAACAGTAAGTGTTAGGGAAATGCTCAGTTAAGGAAACACTGAATGGAATTGTCCCTGGAAGTATCCAAGGGCTTTAAGTGAGCTCACTCACATCATTAGCCAGATGGTAACGGGCTTCCTCGAAGTTCTCCTTGGCCATGTAGAGAAGGCCCAGGTTCCGATGCAGTAAAGAATGAGTAGCATTACTACAGTCCGTTGATTTGAGGACTGTCCACCGGGCTTGGGATAGGTATTCTTCAGCCTGCACTATCCGGCCCAGACCTGCCAAAAATCAGTTATAAAAGATGGTATAAGTTGGGCAGTGGTAGTGCATACCTTTAGTCCCAGAATTCGGGAGGCAAAGGCAGGCAGATCTCTGTGAGTTTGAGACCAGCCTGGTCTACAAGAGCTAGTTCCAGGACAGCCTCCGAAGCCACAGAGAAACCCTGTCTCGACCCCCACCCCAAACAAACAAACAAAAAAGATGGTGTAAGTCAGGCCGGGTAGCACATGCCTTTAATTCCAGCACTTGGGAGGCAGAGGCAGGAGGATCTCCATGAGTTCGAAGTCAGCCTGGTCTACATAGAGATATCCTATCTCAAAAAATCCCTAAATAAATAGGTTATAATTCAATTTTTAAATAAAGAATATACAATGAAATATGAGTTATCATACATTCATTTATTCATTGATAGAAATATTTATTGATGCTGCAAAGTTGCTCACAAATGTTCATAGCAATCTATTCATAACAAATGTTCATCAGTTGATAAGCATATCCTTACCCATGAGTGAACTGTGATCAGTCAGAAAAAGAATACAGACTGGATCCATGCTACAGAGTGATGGACTGAAAAGAGCATGCTAAGTGAAAGAAGCCAGGCACCAAAAGCTATGTATGGTCAGATTCCATTGACGTGAAATGTGCACAACAAGCACACACATAGGGAGCAAGGCATTAGTAGTAGCTGGGGGAGGAGATGGGAATCAGGGAGAGGGACAAGTGAGCATGTCTAATGAGGGTAACTACTAACAATTACATGGATTTTTAGAGGTGATACAATGTTCTGGAATTAAATAGTAGTGAGTTATGCAACCTTTTGAATATACAGCCTTATGAATATATTAGATTATAGCTGAAAAGGGTAAATTTGTAGATTGTGAATTCTCTCTTTTTATACACACACACACACACACACACACACACACACGAGAGAGAGAGAGAGAGAGAGAGAGAGAGAGAGAGAGAGAAGACCTTTACATTTTTATCTATTATTTACTTGGTGGTTTTTGGTTTGTTTTGTTTTAGACAGGGTCTCTGTAGCTGTGGTCTTGAACTCTATGTAGATCAGAATAAGCCTTAAACTCATAGAGATCCTCTTGCCTCTGTCTCCTGAATACTGGGAAACAAAGGTGTGCATCATCATCCCAGATTTATGCCAGGCTTTTAAAAAGATTTATTTTTAGGTCTGGGTGTGATGACCATGTCTTTAATCCCAGCACTTGGGAGGCAGACACAGGTGGATCTGTGTTTGAGGCCAATCTGGTCTACAAAGACAGTTCTAGGACAGAGAAACCCTGTCTCAAAAAGCCAAATTTTTTTTTTTATTTTGATTATTTGCATGGGGACAGTATGTGCACATACATACATGTTCCTGAGGAGGACAGAATAGGGTGTCAGATTCTTGGGAACTACAGGCAGCTATGAGACATCTGACAAGGCTGCTGGAAACTGGGGTCCTCTGCAAGAGCAGTATAACAATACATACATACATACATACATACATACATACATACATATTTCATTTTCCCCTGCTTTGTTCTACTCAAGGAGACAATGCTAAACAAGAAAGAGGTCCCAAGGCCACGTGCAATTGCATCTAAGCAAACATCAGTCCTGAAGGAAAAGGCATACTTGGGAGAGAACACCAGAGAGCTGGACAGGGTAAGGCAAGCAGTGGGGTTCCAGCTCATGGGTTCTTCGTCAGAGTTCACACTGTTACCTGTGAGTAGTCAGTTCAGGCATGCTGCCCTCTCACTGACTGTGCCTCACATGCTGGGGGTGGGGGGGGTGAAGGAAGTGAGACTCTCCTGAGACTTTACAACATATGCAATGTTTCTCTGCTAAGTTTCCACTGCAGGCAGCGGAGTCTCTAGGAAGAAAAGGAGCATATATGAAAGGAATGGGAAATATTTTTAACTATCAAAAGGGCTGGCAAGGTTGTACCTTGAGCATTTGACCCTGCATGGAAACCTTCCATTTCAACAGCACTTCCAATTTTCAAAGCACTTTCATGATTGTTTCTATGAACTTAATTCCCAGAGCCAGCCTGGGAGGTACTCAGACTCAACCAAGGCTTTCTTGGTGCCATGAGGTACCAGGGCAGTATTCTTTGAGGACCCTCTCTCTCCCGTATACTCTGCTGGGTATGAGAACCTCATGGAAGGATGGATCTGGTTCTTGTCTAGTGGAGAAGAGAGAAAGAAATCTCCTCAATAAATCTTTAACTAACAATGGACTGAGTGCTCAATAAAAAAGGAAGAAGTTTCTGAGTGGGTTAAGAAAGAGACCCAAAGGGCTGGAGAGATTGCTCAGAGGTTAAGAGCACTGTCTGCTCTTCCAGAGGACCTGAGTTCAATTCCCAGCAACCACATGGTGGCTCGCAGCCATCCGTAATGAGATCTGGTGCCCTCCTCTGTCATGTAGGGATACATGTAGACAGAACAATGTGCACATAATAAATAAATCTTTAAAAAAAGAGAGACCCAAAGCTGGGTGGTGGTGGCCCCGCCTTTAATCCCAGCACTTGGGAGGCAGAGGCAGGCAGATCTCTATGAGTTCAAGGTCAGCCTGGACTACAGAGTGAGTTCAAGGACAGACAGATCTCTACAGAGAAACATTGTCTAAGAAACAAACAAACAAACAACAATCTGGCTAGAAACAAGCCAAGCTAAGGCCAGACATTCATAATAAGTTTCCATGTGATTATTTGGGAGCTAGGTGGAGGGCCCCCAAAGAGCCAAAGTGTAAAAAAATAAAAAACAAACAAACTAACAAACAAAACCTACAGGAGAAACCTTGACCTGAGACCCTAGGGACAACAAGGAATTAAGTAGGTGGAGGAAACAGAGACTTTTAGAATAAAAGTGCCCCCTAGGACTTGAGAGAAAGTGTCTATAACTAGAAGAGAGAAAAGAACAGGAGAGAGCCAGTCGTTCAGGGCCTCAGACTGCTGTGGGACTTTGTCTTCTTGGACATGTAATGGGATCACATTGTTTGGTGGAGGTAAGACTGAAGAAAGGCCCAGGAAGACCTGGGGAAAGCAGCAGGTAAGCAGGTGGGAGATGGGGCCTTCAGCTTAAATGGTTTCTCAAAGCCCCACAGTCAGGGGTCAGAGTACACAGACTCTGGGCTGTATTTCCTGACCTGGTGCTCTTTCTACTGTCTAGAATGGGGTATCAGACCTGAGCAGGGTGAGGTGGGCATTCCTGTAGGTACAAGGCCTGGTACGGGGAGCCAGAGCCCAAATGACCAAGGGCATGCATTCCAGAGAGTCAGCTCCCAAGTGAGGAGGCAGAGCCCACACAGGCAGGGAAGGCATCTTTGTGTATGGGGATCTGGGACTGGAGAAAAAGGATTAGTTAGGTCCTGGGAGCCCATTATATATACAAACACATCAATGAATGTGGACAGCATCCTTGCTGTCAGAGAAAGGGGCTGAAAACTGAAATGGGAGACTGGACTGAAGATGTGTGCTGTGCACGGTTTGGGTGTGCTGGCATAGACCCATGTCACATATATGTGAGAAACATTAAATATTAGCCTTTTCTGTAAACACTACAAATCTTTATTCATGACAAGCAAATCAAATCTTCTTATCTCCCCCACCTGGTGAACCCTTTGTGTAAATGTCTAGATCCCCCTGACACAGTTAGACTTTCATTTACACAAAGGCCCTGCTGTATCCTTGGAACTTAAGTGACTTAAATGGTTCACCCCTTCCCACTCTCCTTCATTTTCTTTTAAAACTAGTCAATTACAGAAGACTGGAGTCAGACTCCAGCCAATGGGGAAAAGATACAATCACCACTTGTGCTAGAATAAAAACCAAGTGAACTTCCTGTCAATGTGTACTTGCTCACCAGACCTGGGTCTTGGGTACTCTCTTTACAAAAAGAATCACCTTGATGGCTACTTTTGCCTTGTTTATGTTCCTTCTGTGTAATGCTGAGATTGTTTCTAACATGGATGCTCAGGAATGTAATTCCCCTCAGAACACTGATCTCTGCAACAGCCTACAGGCAGATGAAGGCTCTCACTCTCAGGGTGATGGGTTCTTCTGTTTCTCAACTATGACTCTGACCCCAGGGAACAAGAGTAGAGTCTACATTCCAGCTGGGTTAACACAATTCTATCTTCTAGGAATTTGTAATGGAAATCAGATGCTAATCCACTTCTGCTTCTCAACTTGAGTCTAGAGAACATACAGATTTAACTAGAGCTGATATCTGAGGGTAACTGTCTCCAGCAGTGAGCAGAGGGTGTTAAACTTCAGTCTGCAAATAGGCCAACTGGAGCAGATACCTACAGAGGAACAGAGACAAGAAAGAAGGCTGGGGGCAGCTGAGTTGATAGAGTATTGGGCTGGCATGCATGAAGTCCTGGGTTCGATCTCCCACAATACATGGTAATGTAGTGTTGGCCTGAAATCTCAGTACTGGAGGGGTGGTGGGGACAGGAAGATCAGAAGTTCAAAGTCGTCCTTAGGCTATCAGGGAGTTTGACTCCAGTCGTCTGGTTACACGAAGGAAAGAGAAGAGGCCCAGGAGAAAATCTGAGAGCAAAGTCTATAGTAGTCGACGCTTTAGCCCCCTCAGATCACTCCAACAGTCTAATTGATTTCCTCTCTTTGCCCAGGCCAACTTCAGTGAAGTTTTTTAATACATCGTTTTTCTTTGTAGCTCTTGCTGGCCTGGAACTAGCTCTGAAGACCAGGCTGGCCTGGAACTCAGAGATCCACCTGCCTCTGCCTCCCGAGTGCTAGAATTAAAAGTATTCATCAACACCACCTGGCTGGTTTTCGTTGTTTTGTTTTGTTTTGTTTTGGGGGGGGGGGTTAAGACAGAGTCTCTCTTTGCAGTCCTAGCTGTCCTAGAACTTGCTATGTAGAAGAGGGTGGTCTCCTGCCTCACCTTCCCAGGGCTGAGATTAAAGGTGAATGCCTTCAGGGCGGTTGTGGCACACACCTTTAGTGCCAGAACTTGGGAGGCAGAGGCAGGTG